CAGGTTGAGCTGTTGTTCAGCATCTTAGCTGTGGAGGGCAGTGTCACTGGCCCTCATATGTGGGATCTGAACCTGGGCCCTCTGGCATCCCAAGCGAGTTCTTAACCATCGCGCCACTCGGCCGGCCCTATTTTTAATTTTTTGAGGACCCTCCATACTATTTTCCATAGGGGCTGCACCAATTTGCAATCCCACCAACAGGGCACTAGGGTTCCCTTTTCTCCATATCCTCACCAACACTTGTTGTTTGTTGATTTATTGATGACAGCCATTTTGACAGGTATGAGGTAATACCTCATTGTGGTTTTAATTTGCATTTCTTTGATGATTAGCGACGTTGAGTATCTTTTCATATGTCTATTGGCCATTTGTGTGTCCTCTTTGGAGAAATGTCTATTCAGGTCCTCTGCCCATTTGTTAATTGGACTGTTCGTTTTTTTGGTGTTCAGTTGTATGAGTTTATATATATATATAAATATATATATTTGGCCCCTTATCAAATGTATCATTGGTGAATATCTTCTCCTATTCAGTATATCTTTTTGTTTTGTTGATGGTCTGCTTTGCTATGCAAAACCTTTTTAGTTTGTAGTCCCATTTGTTTTTCTTTTGTTTCTTTTACCCGAGGAGATATAGCAGTAAAAATATTACTAAGGGTAATGTCTGAGAGTTTACTGCCTATGTTTTTTTCTAGGAGTTTTATGGTTTCGGTTCTTACATTTAAGTCTTTAATCCATTTTGAGTTTATTTTTGTATATGGAGTAAGTCTTGTATGGTCCAGTTTCATTTTTCTGCATGTATCTGTCCAGTTTTCCCAGCACCATTTATTGAATAGACTGTTTACCCCAGTGTATACTCTTGCCTCCTTTGTCATAGATTAAATGACCATATAGCCATGGATTTATTTCTGGGCTATATTCTGTTTTGTTGATCTATGTGTCTGTTTTTATGCCAATATCATGATTACTATGGCCTTGTAGTATACTTTGATGTCAGGTAATGTGATACCTCCAGCATTGTTCTTCTTTCTCAGGATTGCCGTGGCTATTGGGGGTCTTTTATGGCTCCATATAAATTTTAGGATTATTTGTTCG